TTTTCAGTAATACCCCGCTCACTGGTACCAATTTACTAATATTAGTCCATTTTCACACTGCTGATAAAGATGTATCCAAGACTGGGAGGAAAAAGAGATTCAATTGGACTTACAGATCCACATGACTGGGGAGGCCTCAGAATCATGGTGGGAGGCAAAAAGCACTTCTTACATGGTGGCGGCAAAAGAAAACGAGAAAGATGCAACAGTGGAAACTCCTGATAAACCCATCAGATCTTGTGAGACCGATTCACTATCGTGAGAATAGTACGTGAAAGACCGGCCTCCATGATTCAATTACCTCCCCCTGGGTCCCTCCCACAACACATGGGAATTCTAGGAGATACAGTGCAAGTTGAGATTTGGGTGGGGACATAGCCAAACCATATCAGCTTCCTTTCCCAGGCCACCTAGCTGCTTCCCTCCTGGCCTTGTCATTTGAAAATATCCACCTCCCGGTCTCATTTCCTCCCACCTCATGGTGCAGCCCTAACCCCCCACCTGTCCTCCATGGATGAAAGTGAGTCCTTGCTAGTCCTCATTTGACTGAGACCTCTTGGCAGCATGTGGCACTGTGGACCACCCTGTCTTCCCTGGCTTCCAGGACCCTGAACTCCCCTGGTTCTCCTTCTACCCTCTCCCTCGCATACCATTTTGCTGCCTGGTTTCTTCTTCCTCCGCTGGCTCTCTTTTTAGACAGCAGGGCTCCTCCTCAGAATCTTTCCTGCCCTGCCTCTTACACACACTGCCTGCCTGATGGAACCTCCTCTCTATGCTCTTGAGGAGTCTGTGCCCTGCTCTCCATCCGCCACCCCCTTCTCTTTCTTGGACTTAAGCACCACCATCCTGGGGTCAGCCTTATCTTCAGGATGCAAATCCAAGTCTCAGAGCTTGGCACGTAAGGTCACTCTTGACCCCCTATATATCCTTCAGCTCTCACTCCCTCCACTCATACTCTGTACCAGTGGCCTCCAAAGTGGAGACAGACAGTACACTGGGGTGCAGGGAGGACTTACTGGAATCTGTATCCCTAATTATTTTTACCTTTAAACAGTGCAGAATTAAACTTTGAATATCTGCATATAGATTGATAATAGTACATGAATAATATTTATCAATAAATTAGTGGAGGCAGTTGTACAGTCAGAATTGCTTGGCAACCACTGCACGGCATTATCTCTGGTCTTGCTGTGTAAGACCTGCCATGCCCCAGCATGGGATGCTCCTACACACCTTAGTACCCACTGCTTCCTCTGCTGTGTCAGGGTGATATTAGCTGTGAGCAATAGCATATTCAAACATGTAGCCGAAAGAAGCTACAAGTTTGTCTTTCTCTCTTGTAAACTCAGTGTGGAGGTAAGCAGCTCAGGGATGGTATGGCAGCTCTAAACTCATCTGAGACCCAGACTCCTTGAACCCATGGTTTCCAGCTCATGGCCCAGGATTGCTGCTTGAGCTCCAGCCATAACATCAGCATTCCAACCAACAGAAAGAAAGGGTGAAGAGAGACATCCCCCCCACACACACATTAAGGATACCTCGATTATTAGAGATAAAGAATGACATTTATTAATGATGAAGAGTTTGATCCACCAGAAGGATATCACAACTCCAAATTTCTTTGCACTCTATAAAATATCTACAAAATATATGAAGCAAAAATTAACAGTATTAAGCAAGGGATAGATAAATTCAAAATCATAGTGGGAGTCTGTAATATACCTTTTTCAATAGCCAATAGAACGTATCAGTAAGGATATAGAAGATGTGAAAAGTACAATTAACTGACACATACAGAATTTGTACCCTATAATGACAGGATTCTCATTCTTTTCGAATGCCTGTGAAACATATATCAAAAAATGATCCTTGTAAGAAGTTGCCTATACCACTTCTTATATACCATTTACCGGCCAGCAGTGAATCCTCCTTCTAGCAGGACGGGAGTCTGGGAAATGTTTTCTGTTCCAGGTGACTAAGTATCTAACTAAAATTGAGAGGTTCTATTCTAACAAATACTAGGGGGACCAGCAGTCTCTGGTCCCTCCCCTTCCTCCTTTGCCCTGGTAGATCTCGTCCTGTGAGTACTGCACAGTGGGTAAAAGCTTGAGCCCAGAAGCAGAGATTCTTTATTCAGCTCTGACTTTGTCATTTACTTGTTATGTGACTTTAGTTGAATTATTTAACCTGTCTAAACCTGATTATATTATGAAATGGGAATAACCCTATTTCGCAGGGGTATTGGGAAGATGGACTGAAATCATGAGCGTAAAGCACTTAGTTCTGTGCTTGGCACATAGTAAGTGTTCCATAAATATTAGCTACATAGAGAGGTTAAATAACTTGCCCAAGGTCACACAGCCAGTAAAATGACAAAGCTAGCTTTCAGATCCAGTCATCTGGCTACAGGCTGGTACTGACACTTCTTTGGGGCCTCTGTCACCCCCAGCACAGGGCCCCACACGTGGTGTTGGGGAAAGGAGCACTGAATGGTGGAGAATAGGAAACTCAACTACAGATTAGCCATGTGACCTTAGAAAAGTCATTTTTAAATACGCATCTTAAATATGTAAAATTCCTCATTCTTTCTGCAGAAGATTGAATTAAGTGAGCCCAAAGGTTTCCCCTGACCCTGACATTTTGTGGTTCTATCTTCCCTACCACTAATGACTGAAATTTTACCATTAGAATGGTTTCTTTTCCTTAAGCCTTGTCTTCTGCCTGAAGTTCTTTTTAAAAAATACAATTTTCCTTTAGAGGGCAGGGCCCTGACTCTGTGGTTTGAGTGAGTGAATCAGGCCCCTTTGCCGCAAGTAGAGAGAAGGTTCTGGGGCAGAAGTCCAGTGGCCCTGCCTGGGAGGGGAGGGGTGTGCACAGGGAGAGAGACTGCAGACAGGAGTGGCCAGGCCCCACAAACTATGCCACTTGCTAAGGGCCTGCGGTGGCCCAGGAGACGCTGCACCTGCTGTCTTGTCAGGACTGACTGCATGACGGTGAAATTGCTCCCATTAGATCCCCTGGCCGACACCATCCACGGCCATATCTTACAGACTTCCTTTTTTTCTCCTTCTGTATTTATTCTACCACCCTCCCTCGAAAACTAAATTGGAGAAAAATGAGTTTTGTCTTTTTTTAAGGAGAAGACTCGCAGTCTTAAATTACCTTCTTCAAAGTCTGCAAATAGAAATCACAAATAAGTCAGCCACATTGTCTTTTCTCTCTTCCTCTCTTCCTGTCTCAGTGAGCCCATGAGCTTGAAATAAGAGGCAGAACAGTAGCTCAGAGGAAATAACTGGGGCACGGCCAAGCACCAGCCCAGGGGGCAAGAACAGGATGAAAGGAGGGCCCAATTGGGGGTTGGAAATAATGGAGGAAGAGACGGGAATGCTGAATCCCCCTGGCCCAGCCCATGTGTCTTCTCTGGAGGTCCAGCAGCCATGGTCCATTATAAGACTGAACAGGATGACTGGCTGATCGTCTGCCTGAATAAGCATAAGCCGTGCCTCATTGCTTATGGTTCTGAAATAAAAGAGGTTCCCAAAATGGGGGTAATTTCTTAAAGACCAACTACTCTGTGAGTGTGGGTGTGCACGTTCCCAGGGGCAAATGTAGCTCAAGAAGGGGAAACTACAAAGGCTTCAGACTTTCTGAGGTTCAGACAGAGAAGCAAACAAAGCACAGTAGGCCCTCTCTGCCTTTATCACCACTGTTGATGTCATACTTCCCAGAGAGTCCATCAGTGGGTGTCAGGACAAGAGATAGCATGGTGCTGGGGTAAAGACGGGAGTTTTAGGACTGGAGTCTTAGGCCGTCACCCCAGTTCTGTGACATGTAATAATAGCTAACATTCATTGAACACTTATATATGCCAAGGACTATGTTACACACTTCACATAGATTATTTCATTTAATCTTCAAAACAACCCTATGATATATGTGTCATGCTCCCCACTTCCCACAGATGCAGAACGCTGAGGGATGGGAAGTCACATAACTTGCCCAAAGTATCACACATCTTTTTTTTTTTTTTTTTTTTTTTTGAGACGGAGTCTCGCTTGAGACGGAGTCTCGCTCAGTCGCCCAGGCTGGAGTGCAGTGGCGCGATCTCGGCTCACTGCAAGCTCCGCCTCCCGGGTTTACGCCATTCTCCTGCCTCAGCCTCCCAAGAAGCTGGGACTACAGGCGCCCGCCACCACGCCCAGCTAATTTTTTGTATTTTTAGTAGAGACGGGGTTTCACCATGTTCGCCAGGATGGTCTCGATCTTCTGACCTCGTGATCCGCCCACCTCGGCCTCCCAAAGTGCTGGGATTACAAGCATGAGCCACCGTGCCCGGCGTATCACACATCTTGTGACAGATCAGGGTGTGAACCCAGGGAGTCAGACTCCAGGGGCTCTTGTACTTCTTCCTGCCAAACCACCAGGCCTGTCTGGGCCTGCTTCCTCATCTGGAAAGTCAAGCTGCAGCAGCCAGGTCGGGTGGACTGGGTGATCGCTGGGGCCCTTTCCAGCACAGGTGCTCTGCTCTGGGGTTCATGCCACACCTGTGGATTCAGAGTCCTGTTCAAATGATGCAGAGTGCAAGTTTCCTATGCAAAGTAGTGATGCTGAATGTGTGTGTGTGTGTGTGTGTGTGTGTGTGTGTGTGTGTGTGTAAGACAGGTAAACTTGTGTCCTGCAACCCTGATGAGACAGGAAAAGCGATTAAGAATACAGTAAGACCAACGCAAAGTCTGTGGCAGAATTGTAGGTTAGACCTTTGTCAAGAGGACAAAACTGACATCTAAAGTTCTGGAAGATTCTGCCCCACTTCACCTCTATTTGGTGTCCTTAGCAATTCCCAGATCTTTGCTCCATGCTACCCATGCATAGCCTCAAAGTCCCCCGGCAGATAGGTTAATGAGCCCTTCGAAGGGAACCTTGCCAAGATGCTCTGGCTCTGGGAAGGACAAGGTGGTTCTTGGTGATTCCCTGGCCCAGCATATGTGTCTTCTCTGCAGGCCCAGCAGCCATGGCCCACTATAAGACTGAGCAGGACGACTGGCTGATCGTCTACTTGAAGTACTTACTCTTTGTCTTCAACTTCTTCTTCTGGGTGAGTGAATTTTGCACACACATCCTCTTCCTAAAACACTGAATGAGTCAAGCCACCTTTTTTCTGTGTCACCACTTTGAGGTTGATATCTTCCAAATCAAAGATCAACGATCAACCATGGATGAACTCTTCCCACTTTAAAGCAAATATGTACATTTGCTACTGAGAAGGAAGAGAAGAATTGGGTCTGCAGGTTGGCATGGAGATCGTACCACCTGGCATCTGAATAGAGGCACAAACATAACAATAAGCTTTGTGTTCCAGCCCTACTGTACGAAGGATCCAGTTCTTTCTTCCCCACTAACTTGTTGCACCAGTGCCTTTTGGAAAATGTGACTGCCTGAAATAATAACTTGTTTTCCACTGAAGTCCATTCGCCTTTCATGGTTAACATTCTCCAGGCCCAGGGCAGAGAAACAGAAGTCCTGGAGGCTCCGACTACTGCTGCCTGTGATGAAAATGATCTCTATGGCGACTCCCCTCAGGAGCCTGTCTGGGTGAGGTCTTCCAGAGGGGTGTAGTCTGTCCACTTGAAGCAATCATCTGGGTAATTGGGAGCAGAATACCATCAGTTCCCAAAAATAGACACTGGAATGTATATATTTGTTACGACAGTCTCACTAAATTTGAGAAGGTAGAAGGGCGACAAGAGTGTAGGCTTTGCAGGCAGCTGGACCCATGCTCTGCTGACTACTAATGGTGGAGCCTTGGGCAGGCTACTTAAATTCCAGGAATCTGTTTCCTCAGCTACAATTCAATGATAAATTCTAGCCTGTTGGGGTTGCCTTCAATAAACGCAGTATTTTGAATATATTAGATGTCAAATGCCTAAAAATACCAGCCAATCAACCCATGATAAGGCATAGCTGGGCTTCCTGCTACCATGGTAAGGGAGAAGACACTTGACAGAGTCTTAGAAGCATCTCAGAAAGGCAAATGCAAAGGTGGGGGACATGTCTGAGTTTTCTGGGTCTTTCCTACAGGGGCTTGCTTATGATTGGAAAAGACCATGACGTGAGAGTTTAGGGTGGGTAGACATGGCAAGGCAAGAGTTCTGAAGAGTCTTGGAGAATAGACCAGTCATTAGATGCTATCTATTAAAAAGTTGTGCAATCTGCTATTTGTTTAAATGTTTGCAAAGTTCCTGAAAGGAATAATAAAATAATTTGTCACTTTTACCTTCCTGGGCGAGAGTTTCCTGCAATACTGAAGTCGTGACGATGAAGATGGTGCAATAATAAAGCTGTGTTGATATGGATAGGAAACTGCGTGGTAGAGATGGTTTCCATTCTGAGGGACAAATCCAATAGGGCGATAAGGATTCTTGCTAAGTAAGCATTTCTTTTTAAGAATAACTTGATTTCCTGATTATAAAAGTCTTATGTATCCACTACAGATAATCTCTAAAATATTAAAAAGTATCATAAAATGAAAATTGTTTTTATCTCACTATGTTCATTTCAAAGTGCCATAAACTGGATGGCTTTAAACAACAAAAATTTATTCCCTCACAGTTCCAGAGGCTAAAAGTCAGAAATCAAGGTGTCACAGGGCCAAGCTCCCTATGAGACTTGGGTAGAATCTTTCCTTGCCTCGTCCCAGCTTCTGGTTGTGGCTGGCGATTCTTGGCACTCCTTGGCTTGTGGCTGCATCACTATAGTCTCCAAAGCCTCTGTCATCACACACTGTTGTCCCTGTTTGTCTCTGTCTTCACATGACATTTTCTTCTTACAAGGACACCAGTCATGTTGGATTAGGACCCACCCTAATGACCTCATCTTAACTTAATTACATCTGTGAATATCATATTTCCAAATAAGGCCACATTCTCAGGTACCAAGGGTAAGGATTTCAACATATCTTTTGGGGGACCCAGTCCAACCCAAACCACTGGCCACCCCAGGAACAGCCACTGTTGACATTCCCTCTAGACTTTGCTTTGATCAGGGCAGGAGATGGTGGTGACTTGCACTGTGGGAGTGTCAATGGGGATCTAAGTATTTGCAGAGAGTGAAGGGATTTAAAAGGTGAAATTGTCAAGATTGAGTCCTTAACCTAAAAAGGCATCTGGGACATGTGGATGGTGGATGGTAGAGCTCTTCATTGTAAACAAGAGACCAAGGTTCAACCTCAGTCTCCAATAGCTCTGGCTTTAAGACTTTTGGGATCATGTCCCATGTAAGATATACGTGGAAGCATAAGAAATAGTTATGTGGAACATTGTTCACCAAAGTAAGTTTACCCTTATGTTGCGTGATGCGCTCAGATTTTTTTTCTATTTTGATTATTTCCTTCTTTTTGTTTTTAGTGCAGCTTACAACCCACTAAACTTATATCACAACTCTAATGGGTCACATTCCAAAGTTTGAAAAATTCAGAGTCGTCTTCACCTCCACTTGAACGAGGTCAGACTTCAGGTGGCAATCCTTCCCCACCACCCCGTCCCTCACTCCCGCCTCCCCCCTGGCCTCCACCACCTAGAATTTCAGTTAAGCTGGTGTTGATTGGATGATCCTACAGAGCAGGGAAGGAACCAAAAATGCTGACACTTTCTTGCCTCCTTTACAACCGTAAAAGAAAATGTGGTCCAGGGTTTCCTCTGTGGCCACCCAGGAGATGTGTTTCTTTCCCCTCCCTTTTCTTCCATGGCTCCCTATGGCTCCCATCGCCCCTGCAATGGTGTTCTCTAACTTATTATTTTATTCAACTGCTTGGCTGTGTTAATAATCAAAACTTTTCTAGCCTCTCAGGTGCTCCGCCAGGCTATGGGGAGCACTGAGGAAGCAGCTGCTCCCTTGCCTGGAGAGGCTGCCTCTGCTCCAGAAGCTGTGTCCCACCCTTGAGCATTAGCTGAGGCCTTGGTATTTCCTCAGGGACCAGGGATACATGGGGCTAAGACGGGTAGCAGAGAAGACGGAGGACTCGAGCCACAGCAGGGGAGTGAGATGACTTGAGAGCATCACTTCGGGAGTCAGGGAGGCCGTGGGAGGGAAGCACCTTCTGCCGAGGCTCAAAGCCCTTCTCTTGGTACATCGACATCCCACCGAATGTGGCCACTGCCCACTTTCCAGGCTTGCCATCTAAGAAAGAACAGGTGATGGCTTTTCTGCTACACCCCTTCTTGAGATGCTGACTGGCCTGGGACCACCCCCCCACCCACCATGGTCTTCTGCCCCTCTGTGCTGTCAGGATCTGCTGGGAGACAGAGTCACAGTTGAGGGGGATGTGCACTTGGTCTGCACAGTGCCATGGCAGATGAGACAAGTCAGGACGAAGCGTAGGGTAACGCCTTCTAGCTGCTCTGCTGTAGCTCAGGACTCTAGGCCTGCTGTAGCCCAGACACCAGTGACTTGCTTCCCAGGCCAAGCAGCTTCGTTGTGGGTCAGCAGCCCAGTTGGTTAAATGGGCACTAAACTGAGCATTAGGATTCTTAATTTCTGCTCTCCACACTTCCTTTGGCCTTCTTGTGTGACTGTGGAAAAGTCACTTCTCTCCAGGCCTTGGTTTCTCCATCCAGAATATAAAAGGAGTTGAAATCAATCAGTCCCTTCCTCCCTCCCTCCCTTCCTCCCCTGCTTCCTTCTGTCCTCCTGTCCTCCTGTCCTCCCTTCCTCCCTTCCTCCCTCCCTTCCTCCCTTCCTCCCTCCCTTCCTCCCTTCCTCCCTCCCTTCTTTCCTTCCTTCCTTCCATCCATGTGTAGCCCTCTGCTAGGGATATTAAGATGAACGATATTTAATCAAGAGGCTAAAAGAGGAGGCACACAAGGTATCCAATAAAATAAATAGACTATGAGTGTAATTATAGAAACATGTGCAAGACAAGGAGTTGGTACAGAGGACAGAATGATTTGCTGGGAGATGGGGCAGGGACAGCTCCAAGGAAGGTTTCCTCTGGGCTCTGAGCTGGGTTTGGAAGATGAACAGATGATCACATGTTCCCTCCCAGCTCCACCCTTCAGTAAGACTCATGAGATTTTGCTCTTATTACAGGGGTAGATGGGAGTGGGGAAGACAGCAGAGGAGGTAGTGTTCTGAGGTTAAAGGCAGAGAGCCAAAAACAAGGATGCCTCAAAGTGGAAAATAGCCCTTAGCATGACAAGCCTATCCTTGAAGATTCCATAAACCGAGGCAGCAGGAGCATGGGCAAAGCCAGAGAGAAATGCATGCCTGGCGCTCAGAGAAGGTCGTTCATGAGGAGGGTGAGCAGCAGCACCTGATGCATGCTTTTGTGTGCCCTCCTGGAGAGCTTGGCAGCTCGGGCATGGGACTGGGCTGACTGCCTGCGTGTGGGCATAGGGCTCAGCCGTGCTGTATCAGGACTGCAGCCCAGGGTTCAGCTGACTCTTCTGATGTGGGAATGGGAAACCATTCTTTAAAAGAAGTTGAGTCTTGTTCAGACCTGGTCTCCCAGTCTTCTCCCTGAGCCCCCACGCTGTGTTTGCTCCCCAAATTAGACCCATTCACTTCTCCTTCATAGCAGAAGTCACCCTGGTGATTACTAAGTCAGGTCTTTCAACCCAGTGTCCTACAAGTGATCCTGGGGCAGGGGCAGTGGCAGTGTCAGGCATGGACCCCATGATGGCCCAAGAGCCTGGCATCATCATAGCAGGTGCACAGTGGGTATTGGTTGAAAGAAGGAATGAGAGTAACCAAGCATCAGTCTGACCTTAAGATACCTAGGGCGCAACCCCAGCCTTTCCAGGAGCCTCTTCTTAATGACCCAGAGAAAAAGCCCATTCCTCACTGGGACTGCTGGGACTTTGTAGACTGCCCCTTTAAAAATCAAAACAGCCATAAAGCAGGAAAGAGAAACACTAGCTGTTGCCCTAGGAGCTCAGCAGACAGAGCAGGTAGGGGAGCAGGTGCCATTTCCACAGCCCTCTGCAGAGCCCCATCCACTGAGTCCCACACTCACTGGGGCGGCTCCTGGGTGCCAGGCCATGTGCTGGGCTGTGTTCTGAGGGGAGTGAGGGGCCCCCTGCCCCAAGTGCCGAGGGCTGCTGTGAAGTGAGCAGCACTGCAGGCTTGCAGGAGAGGGATGAACTCACCTGCCCAGGACAGTCAGAGCAGGTGCCACACTCAAAATCTCAAAATGGGCCTTAGAGGGTGTGTAGGAGTTCAATGGAAGAGGAAGGGCAGAGAGAACAATGTGTGAAAGGTGGGCAGGAATAAGAGCCTCCCTGAGGCCCACAGAGGCTGCCTTGCTTATCCAAATCCACACAGCCAGTAAACAGAGGGGCTTGGACTCAGACACCGCGCCACGTCCCAGAGTTCACCCTGTTTACCACTCTGCTAATAGTGCCTGAATTATTAGGTAACCACACTGTTTTCAGGAAAAAGCAACTACTTAGTTCAAAGTGATTAAAACCCAGGAAAAAAAAAAAATACAAAAATTAGCCAGGCTTGGTGGCACATCCCTATAATCCTAGCTACTCAGGAGGCTGAGGCAGGAGAATCGCTTGAACCTGGGAGGCAGAAGTGGCAGTGAGCCGAGATCGCGCCATTGCACTCCAGCCTGGGTGACCGAGGAAGATTTCGCCTCAAAAAAAACAAAACAAAACAAAACAAAACCCAGGTGTGGGGGAAAGAAAATACCAGAAGATGATGCCAAAAAGTCAGGTTAAGGCCAGACAGTAAGAGCCCCGAGGCCATGTGAAAGAGTTTTTGGGCTTGGTGCCCTGGGCGTGGGAGCTGGTGGGGACTTCTCAGCCGGGGGTGCCTTGGGGGATCAGCCTGTTGGTGGAGCAGGAGTCAGGAGCCAGCAGCCGACTGTGGTGGGGAACCAAGTTGGGCAGTGTGGCAGGGAGATGGAGACAGGTTTGAGGGGAGAGGGGAATTGGCACATGGTTGTCATGGAGAGGAGGAGGAGCCTATAGTGACCCTGCGGTGTCTGAGATTGGTTGGGTGATGGCACCACGGATGAGACTGAGCAGGGAGGAGGAGCACAGACGATGAGTGTGGTTCCCATGGGTGAGCTCCTGTCCAACCCCGGAGGCTTTTCAGTCCAGTGTGGGGCTTGGCATGTAGCAGGTGGCCAGTAAACACAAAGTCTGCTATCACCCTGTGCACTTCCCGTCACCCTGTGCGTTTCCCGTCACCCTGTGCGTTTCCGTCACCCTGTGCATTTCCCACGTCCTGAGCCATGGGCTCCTCCTCACTGAGGGTGGAGAACTCCCCTCCCCAGAGGATCCTTCCGTATTGGGATTCAAGTGGTCCTGGCTCCTGCCCCATCCCTTTCCTTCCCTCATTGTGGAAGCCCTGTGGTAGCAAGACACAAAGAAAAACACCTACAATTACTTTTATACCCTCTGCCTGCTTTCCTCCAGGTCTGTTGCCTAATTTCTCTCAGCCCTGAGGCATGTGCAGCCACTCAGGTTAATGCTTCACCCCATCATGTTTCTTTCCTATGAATGGAAAGTTCCTAAAATTACACAGCAGGGGTGGCCTGCTCCGCCCCTCCTGGCGGGCTTGCATCCTCATTGCCTGGCTTCACCCTCTGCAGGGCTTGCCAGCTAGTCAGCCACAGGCTGTGGCTTTGAAAAATGTAGTTATTACCTAGGCCTGGTGACTCACGCCTATAATCCCAACACTTTGGGGGGCCGAGGCGGCTGGATCACCTGAGGCCAGGAGTTCGAGACCAGCATGACTGACTTGGTGAAACCCTGTTTCTACTAAAAATACAAAAATTAGCCAGGTGTGGTGGTGCATGCCTGTAATCCCAGCTACTCAGAAGGCTGAGGTGGGAGAATTGCTTGAAAACCTGGGAAGTGGAGGTTGCAGGGAGCCGAGATCGCACCACTGCACTCCAGGCTGGGCGACAGAGCAATAAAAAAAAAAAAGAAAAAAAAGAAAAGGAAAATGTAGTTATTACCCTCACGGAATACCACACCAGTTTCTGTAAAGAGCCAAATACTGTTGAATCAACTGTATGCCAATGGTTGTTGAATAGCTCAGTGGTGTCAGATCTTTCCCCACCCCATCAGTCCCTCTTCCTGCCTCTTCTGCTGCTCTCTGCTGGCTTAGGCAGTTTCCAGGTGGCTTGAGTGACAGCCATGAGCCACTGGTTCAGAACCATCTTGCCAGAGGTTCTTTGGCAGAAGCTTGACCTCCGGTACTAAGAGGGACAGTTTAACCATGTGGAAGGGACCTCAGAGATGTTCCCATCCAGTGCCCCCAGTTTACAGATGAAGAAACTGAGGCTTAGAGGGGCTGCGTGTGGTTAGTCAGGCGCACAGTCAGAACTAGAACCTAGGCTGCTGACTTCTGTCCTCCCGTGACCCCTCTGGTGACCCATCCAACAGTGAGCAGTGTTCATTTTCCTGCCCAGAGAAAAGCTTGTTTTCTAAAGAGATGACCATGTCCTAAGCAGGTCTTCCGAAGGAATGAAACCTTCTCATTCCTTACAGCTAAGCCTAAGGACTGGGAGGGGGTGGAGGCCCTCAAAACATTAGATCCTGGGGAAAGCAATCAAAGGGCTTCCCAGTAGTTATAGGCTGGGGACCACCTAGATAAGCCTGGGAGAGGGGTGGAGGCCCTCAAAACATTGGATCCATGGGGAAAAGTAATCAAAGGGGTTCTTAGTAGTTATAGGTTGGGAACCACTGGTCTAATAGACCATCTAATAGATGGTCTAATACATCCCTTATTTAGGAGATGAAGAAGCTGAGGTCCAGAGAGGTTAAGGGCCTATGTTGAGGTCACACCGCTAGTTATGCAAAGTTGGGACCCTCACCCAAGCCTTCCAGGCATGCTGAAGGGGGCAAAAAGAATTCCATGCAGGATATTTGGCTGCAAACCCTCACTTTACACAATTCTGTTGACCCAAATTCAGGAAATCCCTCACTGGTCATGGAGGTTGTGTGAGCCACAGATAACCTATACCCACAGAGAATTTTAAAACCTATTCTAGGATTTCACTGAAGGTAAAATATCATCAGTAGTAAGATACACTATTGTTTTTTGTACCACTAAGAAAAACTGCCAAGTATAATTATAAAATACCATCAGTCAGAAGATACATCCCAATTTTAGAGATGTTAACATGTGAGAGAAAAATGTGTGCATCATGGAATTGAAGAAATCTGCGTGATAGGCACTCCCATTCTGTTTGCTGTAGCCCAGATGGTGTCCTTCCGCCTGGCTCTTCCACCTGGTGGAGGTGCCAGTGGAGATAAAATGGCACTTTGAAGAAATAGTATCTGTTACAAACGGAGAAGTAGAGGAGCAGGCCCAGCCCAGTCTGTGGGATCTGGGTAGAGTCGTGGATTTGCTCTCTCAGGAGACGTGGGTTTGAATCTCAGTTCTGAAACTCTAATGGTGTCGTCTTGGGCACATTCTTATTCTCTTCAAGCCTCAATTTCCTCATCTGCACAATGCAGAATATGTGCCCTGCCACCCTGCCGCATGCTCACAGAACTGTTGCAAAGCTCAGAAGAGAAAATGGTAAATATGTGTGTGTTAGATCCACAAATGTCTGTGAATGCCCAGAAGGAGAACTGGGAAATGACAGGGTAGGTTGTGTGGAGTCTTCCTGGGGCAGATGGGGAGCTCCTCTCAGCAACAAGGCTCAGGGGGCATGGACAGGGCCCAGGGCACTTCTCTAGCTTTGACCACACCCAGGACCCCTTGAGGAAGCATTCCTCACCCATTAAAGGAAAGAGACCCATCCTTAAATGGGGGCAGGGAGACTAGCCGGCAGAAGTCCACCTTCCCAGGAGCAGATGGCAGAGACAGTCAGAGGTCCCAGGGGTTCTGTCCCCAAATCCTGGGCAAACACCCTCGTACTCCCCACCTGGCACGCTGAAGATGCTGTGCATGTGTGCATACACACACATTATGCCCTGCTGGGTCCAACAGTCACAGAAAGCGTAACTTGGCTTCATTGCAAATAGAATCAGCCAAGCCGAGCCATCCCTGCCCTATTTCCCAACTCCAGTTTCTAAGGAGGCGTCCCCCGATCTGCAAGTCAGGAGGGTCCTATCCCTCCCTTCTTCTCGGGACCAAAGGAGAATCAGACAGCAAAAAAGTTTCTCCTCCTGCAGTCCCAGGCGGCTTCAGCCTGTCAAGCAACCTGACTCTTCAATCATGGAGGCAGCGTGACTGAGTGGGCAGGGCCTGGGCTCTGAGTTCTCGTCCTGCCTCTGCCCCTACCCCTGCCCCCAACTAGAGGCAGGACCTCGGGCAATTTACCTTTCCTCCATGGGTCCCAGTTTCTTCCCATGTATAGTAGGGATAAAAAGCCCAGCTGTGCTTCCCAAATGGGCAAACATAAGGATTAAACAAGGGGTGGTGCTGGAACAAGCCCCACCAGGGAAGAGTGGACAGAGGGAAGGAGTGCTTTGAGGGGAGAGGAACCAAGGGTGGCAGGAGTTGGGGAGGTGAAAAGTTGGGGAGGCAGAGGGACTCAGATACGTTGGTCATCCCTGAAACTGCAGTCCCCTCCCCCGGCCTCATATGCAATAGGCCACCACGGTAAAAAGCACCGAATTCACAGTCGGACCTGGATTCCAAACCTGGCTCTGCAGGTTGCTCACCTTGGACAAGTCTCCTGACCTCTCTCAGCCTTGATTTCCTCATCTATAAAATTGGGTAACCATACCATTCTCGCCTCCTTTGGAGGAATGAATGAGCCAGTGCAAAAGAAGTGCCTGGCGCCCTGTGGGCATTGAATAAATGGCAGCTGCTGAGGCCCCCACCACCCCCTGCTCTAACCCAGTGGTCTCCCGCAGGTCGGGGGAGCAGCCGTCCTGGCTGTGGGCATCTGGACCCTGGTGGAGAAGAGTGGCTACCTCAGCGTCCTGGCCTCCAGCACCTTTGCCGCCTCCGCCTACATCCTCATCTTTGCGGGCGCACTTGTCATGGTGACCGGCTTCCTGGGCTTCGGTGCCATCCTCCGGGAGCAGAAGGGCTGCCTCTCCACGGTCAGTGCCCACCCCGTGCTTGGCAGGGAGGGGGAGCCCTGCACCACCCAGTCAGGTTTCCAGCAAGCGAGAGGGGCCCCAGCCCTGGAGTGGGAGGGGCTGAGGCTGTGGGAGAGCCAGAGAGGGGGTGGCTGCTCCTGGGTCTGGTGTTTGCCACGGTCTCCGGGTTCTTAGGACCCAAGCAAGCAGGGCCGTCTCAGTAGCTGCAGTGGCAGCTCCTTCTCCACATCTCCATCTGTCTCCTTCTCCCACTCCCCTTCTGCCTCCTCCTCCATTTCTTCTTCTCCTCTTCTTCCTGCTCCTCTCCTTCTTCCCCTACTCTCTACCCTTCCCCTCATCCTTATCCCTTTTCCTTCTCATTCTCTTTCTCCTCCTACTTCCCCTTCTCCCCTTCCTCTCCCTCCTTCCTCCTCTTCTTCCTCCTCTCCCCCTTCCTCCTTCTAGGTTTTATTACGGCAGTTTTCAAAGATATACAGAAATAAAGAGTGTTTTTCATGAAGCTCTGTCTTCCCTTCACCCAAAGTTCAACAGTTACCATCTCATAGCCGATCTTGGTTCCATCCACTCTCTCACCTGCATCCTGCCCACTTCTTAACCCCAGGGTGGTTCTGAAACAGTCCCAGACAGCATGTCATCTGTTAGTGTTTCAGTGTGTACCTCTAAAACTTAAGACCCTCTTCTAGAAAACGTGATAACATTACCATTATCACACTTTAAAACAATTAACAGTCATTCCTTAATATCATGAAATACCCAGGCAGCTTCACATCTTCCCAATTGAACCATAAGCTGTTGTGTTTACATTTGAGTTAGAATCTAAATTAGGCTCATGTGTTAAAACTGGTTGCTTATCTCCTAAGTCTCCTAAAGTGAAGGCCCCCAGAGTTTGGGGTTTGAGCTGTTTTCCAGCAGGTAGGACATGTGTGCTGAGAGCCAGCCACGCCATCACCCACCCCCACATGGGGCCTACCATGAGGATTTCCAGCAGGGCAATGCAGGTCGGTCAGCTGAGGTCCTTGAGAGCCACGTAGCCCATCCCAGATGTGACCAACGTAGCTGGATGAAGGCAAGTGACATGACTGACTAAAACCAGGCATGTAGGGTGTCTAGGGATATTCCCTGTGGGTGGCACTGACTAGCCATGAGGTTTACGGGGATCAGTGCAGTTGGGCCCAGAGAGAGAACCCCTCTCCTCTGCAGTGTCAGCAAGCCTGTTTGTATCCTGTCTGGCTCTGCACCCCTTAGCAAGCGGGGCCTTCAACCTGGCCTCAGGCTTCAGGCTGGGCCTCTGGACCTCAGGCCTGGAGGTCTGCCCATGAGCAGGCTGCTAAGCCGTGTGCCCTCACCTGCCTCCTTCCTTCCGTTAGGTCATCTAGTTTAGAGAGGACAGGACTCACCTCTGGACAGCTCAAGAAGGAATGCAGAAGCCCCCACCGAGCACCTTCCTTCTGACCCAGAGCCATCTGTCCTGGTTCTATAGAGCCACTAAAGGCCAGTGCTCCTCTGCAGCACTGGGAAACAGGCCCTCATTCCTCCCTGAGCCCAATTAGAACACAAATGGCCACTATTTACTAGAGCCGCCTCCCTGTATCCTCACTACAGCAACCTGCAAAGTCCCGGTAATCTGAACTCTGTGCCAAGCAAGTGCTGTGCTCAACACTCATGCGCATCAGCTCACTCAGTCCTCGCCCTGCCCCGAAGAGCAGCAACTCTTACTCTGTGTATGGACGGGGAAGAAACAGCAGAGGCAGGTGAAGCAGTTTACCAGAGTCACCTGGTAGTTGTGTTCTTTTAGGTGATGGTCAGTCAGGTGTGGCCACAAGAGGGGGCACAGGAGAGGCACAGGACAACAGTTTACCAGATTCATAGGTCCTAGACCGAGCCTGTCCAACCCGTAGCCCACGGGCCGCCTGCAGCCCAGGACAGCTTTGAATGCGGCCCAATACAAATCCGTAAACTTTCTCAAAACATGAGACTTTTTTGTGATTTTATTTTTCTTAGCTCATCAGCTATCATTAGTGTGTTTTATGTGTGGACCAGGGAAGCCAAAAGATCAGACACCCTGTCCTAGACAGATTCACTGCACACTCCACCAGGAGTGGGGTGGGGGTCACACGGGTGGAGAACTAGGGCTCCCCGAGCAGGCAGGGAACAGACAGTGAGTGAGACCCTTTCACTGGGGGTCAGGATGGCACCATCAGAAAAGGCAGGAGGGGATTCCATTGGTGCATTTGAATATCACTAGATCACAGTCAGGGGAGGGTAGCAGGGGAACGTGTAGCAGGGCCCGCCCTATCACACTGGTGTATCTGCTCACCCCAGCAGGTGCGCACAGCCCGCATGTAGGGATATGGAGGCAGAAGAAATGCCAAGTTTTAAAATGCATGATACACACTGCTGGTGAGCGGCATGTGGTCTGCCTCCAAGCCCACGCTGTCACCCACCTCACTCTTCTGCATCCAAAGAGGTCATATTCACTCCCATCTTCCAGATGACGAAACTGGGCTGAGATGTGGAGCAAGTAATGCCTGGAGCTGGACTGTGCATTACAATCTGTTGGAATCACCTCTAAGAGTCTGCTTCCCTGGGGAGGACAAGCCTGATGGGAGGCAGAGGGACCAGAGGCCAAGGGGGAGGATGTGTGCAGGGCACACCCTGCCCTCCATCTCTGGAGAGGTCTTCATGGAACAGTGGCTTTCAGAGATCTGGTTGGTAACAAGGGAGGGCTCCTTGCAGCACCTAGCCCAGAACCCTAGGGCAAGATATGGGGGTATGGTGGGGGGACCCCAGAAGCCTCAGGTATCTCAGTGCCTCCTTGCTCCCATTATAGTAAGGAAAGAACAGCACACCTGGGTCAGAGCATATTCAGTTTAGAAGGGACCTTGAGGGTCACAGAGTCCAGTGCTCCATCCAAAGGTTACAGGCTGAACGACAGTGGCTGGGTGAGTGTGTGGGTCACCCAGGCATTAGTGGGAGACACTCAGAATTATTGGAGTTTTTGGAGAATAGTGTAATCATAGGAGCTCTTCTCCTTGGCCATCTCAAAGGCCAGAAGGGAAGCCTAAGCTTTAGCACCTGACCACGCTGTGCTCTCCAAGCCACTGATCACAGCCTCCCATTCCACACTTCCTCTCACACCATCCATTCATAAGATCTGTCCAGTCATCCAGGCTGATCCATGAAGAATGAATGTCTTCAGCCTCTGCATCTCAACCTAGCTGTCACTTAATCTAGACGGCCTGCCCAGAGGGAACCAAGCCCTGTGCCTGGGCCATGCAGGAGAGATGTGGAGAGTCAGTAAAGGTCAGGGCCTTGTGTTTGCCTAAAGACTTGCTGGGCACCTCTTGCCCTACCCTTCTGCACTTCAGGGAGTCAACAAAGTGAGCCTTATCCCTCTGGGGCTTGAGACAGGGAGGGGCACAGCAGCCGTTGGACAGGCTGGTGCAAGATTCCCTGCTTCTTCTCAGCTCCACTTTACCCTCTTCTGTAGAGACTTGTCTGCATTCACTCCCATCCCACACAGTACTGACGATCTCTCTGGTCCAAGTCACTAAACAGACACATCAGGGAGGCAAAAGCTTGAAACTGAGGTCAGAAAAAAGTGTGCATGCACACACACACATGCATAGGCACGCACACATGCACTCAGCCACCAATGCAGGACTGTGGAGACAGGCATCTCTGCCAGGGCAATAGCAAACAGCAAACTCCATGGCCTAGAAAGCTTTCTTTGCTTTGTCTACTCCTCTGAAAGAACCAGTGACAGAACTGGCCCAAGGACAGAGCAAGAGGTAAAGCTGGGGATCCTGAGTAATTCACATCCTGGCCCAACAGCCCCTGAAACATCGAGCACTTGATTGTTTAAACCAAGAAGGTGGCTGTACAACCTTTCTTGGGCTAACACAAGTAGGAATTTTAAACAGTAGGAATCTAAACAGGCTCCTGTTTAGAGTCACGTGGTGTGGTTAAGGCAGTGTAAAAGTGCTCCATGCCTCTCAGCAGTTCCTTTCTGGTTCCATTTCATTTTGTCCCCTCCGTGTCTCACTTCCATGTGAAATCTTGAATCAGCCGACAGGTGAGGGAAGCTCCAAAGGAGAAGGGCAGCGAGTCTATCACTAGACAAAGTGGTCCCTGAGGAGGAGAGGGAAAGATGGAAGCCCAGGCATCTGAATGACATGCGTCTACCTTGGATCGGGAGGAGCGTGGGAGAAGTTCCCAAGGAGTGACCCAGAGGGAGACCATCCAGCTTCCACACAGGCACGAAGTCCGTCCTGGCACAGCCCTTTCTCCTCGCTCACCTGCAGCCCCTCACGGTCACTTTCCCAAGAAGGAAGTGGCTGTCAGGGACAGAAATAGCACATCTCTGCCAGTGCTGAAATGATGATCAGCTTGGCACCGGAAATCTGCCGAGCAGGAACAGGAGTGGGGCTTCAATTATTCACACCCGATCATTTTTAGCAAAGACTGCATGAGAGAGATCATTCAGGCCGTCTGAGCCTGGGGCCAAAGACCAGGACAGAGGCCACCTAGATCAAAAGAGAGGGATATTTTTAGAGTTTTGAATGGAGGCTCTGAAAACTTCTATATTTTAAGCCAAATGAAGATCATGGTGGATGATTCAAACTAAACTGGGTCTTTATTGGGCGTTCTTTTCTGTTTGGGGGATGGATTTAAAAAGTAAGAAGTTCTAAAAACCAATTTCTGAAAACAAGAGGATCCAGAATTGCCACACCTCCATCAAATAGGCCAAGACTTGGTCAACCAGGGCACTAAAGTCCACAATCAGAGGTGAAAATATATGGGCTCGGGTTCAAAAGCTGGTTTCCGTGTACCTTGCCCAGCTTGCTCTGGGATCTCGGGTAAGTCACTCAGCTTCTGCCTGCCTCCTTGTGTTGCCATTTTATACAGGATGACGTGTGAGGTTAATGAAGAAGTATTTTCAGGTCTTAGGAAGTGAATCACCACATTATAAAAAGACAGTAAAAATGTGGCTCTAATGA